TAATTAGTGGAGATAGTGCATAAGTCACTTTTAAACTCCTCCTTTTCTCTAATTACCTTTTAAATACGTACCAAGATCAATTCACCAAACACTGCTTTGGATATTTTAGAAAATATCTTTTTACTCTATCCAATAAGAGCTTAAGCAAGAAACAGTATACACTCAGGCCAAACAAATAACTAAATTGACTTTTTCCCTTGTTTTTAAATCTCACTCACTGCTAAATTTTGTCTGTTGTGTTTTAGCTGATAATTAAATGAATTGCTTCCCCCACAAATTATAATTTCATTAGAAGGCATGGGTAGATCCGAAAGCAGCATTAAATTCTTGTGGGATTTTATATACTTTTCTGAGGATTAAGCAGAAATTTTACATAAAACAGGAAAGTGTACTTTGTGGGACAGATTTTTTTTTTTAAAGCTATCTTAACCTTGACTTTCCATAAACTCTAACTCGATTCCAGTAAAATCCATTTCAGGTTCGCGGTCATTCTAACCTGGCTATGCTCCTTACCAATCCTGAGCAAGGCACTTGTTCATGACCTGACCTTACATGACCTGAACAAGGCACTTGACCTGTCTGAGGTTTGGTTTGCTTACCTTTCAAATGGGAATAATAATTAAGTGAAGGTTTAAAGACAGTTTCAAAGCAAAAGGTGGGGCTATCAGGCCTGAGTTTCTGAGGAATGCTGAAAATGTTGGCTTTTCCAGGGCCTTGGTACATTAGCCACGCTCTCTCCCTGGCACCTGCATTCCTGCTTCACTGAAAAGTGAGCCACTCTTTTCATTGCTCTGGTGCCTCTGCAGATGCTTATGCCGCTCTGCCTAAAATTCCCCAACCTCCACTTCTTGAGTTGATCACTCCCTATTCTGTGTTTTCGTGATCTTCCCACAGCTTATCTCACCATATTAAAATTATTTATTCATGTCACTGGCTTTCTCAGCTAGGCATTTTGTTCCTTGGGGCAACAAGAATGTATTATTCTTCCCTATAGCCTTAACCCCTATCAAACTTCCTGTTATAAAATATGCATTTTCTGAGTAAATGAATGAATGACAATATGTAATAAGTCTAGTAAATTATGGAGAGACTGAAAATTGTAAGACCACATATCAAATTTACTATTGGTTTTTGTCTCTATGCAAACATTATGAACAATTTTTTTTAACATTTTTTATTTTTTTTTATTTAAAGATTGGCCCTGAGCTAACATCTGTTGCCAATATTTTTTTCTTCTTCTTCTCCCCAAAGTCCCCCGGGACATAGTTGTATATTCCAGTTGTAGATCCTTCTAGTTCTGCTATGTGGGACGCCATCTCAGCGTGGCTTGATGAGCGGTGCCATGTCTGCGCCCAGGATCCAAACCAATGAAACCCTAGGACACTGGAAGTGGAAAGCATGAACTAAACCACTCAGCCATGGGACTGGCCGCATGAGCAATTTTAATGGTAGAACATGCAAGGGTGAGGTCTCCCTTTAACCAAATCCACTGTTTCTAAAATCATCCTCTGCCTCTCTTATTCTTTCTTGCCCTTTGTTTATTTCCATCCTAGGAATAATCACAATTTATAACAATTTCCTTTATTGTTGATATTTTTTTCCCCACTAGAAGTTATTGAGGGCGAGATTTTGTCTGTCTTGCCCATTGTCGAGTCATAGCTCCTGAAACACGATAAGCATTCAAAAAAACATTTGTTAAAGAAATGAGTGAAGCCACCAAGTATGGAACAAACTGTCTTATAGAATCTCCACGTTCTGTCAGCTACGTGTATTTAATTTTCAAGATGACTAGGAAAGTTATAATTCTAGCCTTGTTGGGGCCTAATGGGGGCCCAAGAAATAGGACTCTTTTCCCTTGTATGAACCAGTTGAGAATTAAAACAAAGGAGTTGATAGTTAGAGAATTAAAATTTTACTTTTATTAGCAAATCAAGCCAAAATCAAAGAACTTGGCAAATGACCTCATGGTACTAAACCTCAGAATCATATCAAGTCAACCCCTTATCTCTGGGCAGTCCCTGCTTGGCGTGGGGAAGCTTCTCTTAAAACATTCCGACACACGCTGCAACATGGATGAACCTTGAGGACATTATGCTAAGGGAAATAAGCGAGTCACAAAAAGACATGCACTCTATGATTCCACTTATACGAGGTGCCTAGAATAGTCAAAACCATAGAGACAGAAAGTAGAATGCTGGATGCCAGGAGCTAGGGGAGGAGCGAATGGGGAGCTATTGTTTAATGGGTACAGAGTTTCAGTTTTACAAGATGAAAAGAGTTCTGAAGATGGATGGTGGTGACAGTTGTGCAACATCATGAATGTATTTAATACCACTGAACTGTATTCATTTTTTTTTTTTTTTTTGAGGAAGATCAGCCCTGAGCTAACATCTGCCAATCTTCCACTTTTTTGCTAAGGAAGACTAACCCTGAGCTAACATCCATGCCCGTCTTCCTCTACTTTATATGTGGGACGCCTCCCACGGCATGGCTTGCTTGATGAGCGGTGCCATGTCCGCACCCAGCATCCGAACCGGTGAACCCCAGGCCACCAAAGCGGAACGCATGCACTTAACTGCTGTACCACCAGGCCGGCCCCTGAACTGTACTCTTAAAAACAGTTAAGATGGTAAATTTTGTTATATATATTTTACCTCAATAAAAAAATGGATAAAAAAGAGACCAAAAAAGAAAAATTATGGCAGAGGAGGACACAGGTTCCCTGCAGACAGCTCATCCCCAAGAGCAAGGGCAGAAGCTTTGGGCCCCAAATGCATGGCTTCTTCGTCCCTGCTCACTGACAGAAGGCACCCGTCCACCTTCTTCAGGCAGAGAGGGAGGAAACAGACAGGCCAGTCAGCTACTGGGGCTCCCAGTCTCTCCCGTGGAGGAAAACAACAGGAGGGGGGAGTAAGTTTCCCCTCTCCCACCCACAACTAGCCTTGACCACAAATACACCTATTTTCAGACACTCTCTGTAAAGATTCTGAATTTGGCCACATTGGTTAAGTCTGCCAGGTCAATGTTAATAATTAGGAGAGAGAGCAAATAGCACCACTCAAGTCAACAAAATAACCAGAGGCTCAGGCAGCCCAGTTAATTTAGTCATTTTCCATCAGTTTGGGTACCCACAATACTAGTGGCCAGTAATATAACTAAGGGAAATAAAGCTACAAAATAATACTTTCTATCACCTTTGTTGATCCAGCTATGGTCATATGGCTTACTCTACAGCCTCCCAGCCAGTTCGCTCTCTGGTTTGGCCTAGAGCACCCCCAGCCACTGAGCTGCCAGTGAAGCTGAGAACCTTGCCTGTGTCAGCAGAAGCCACATAGGATAGCCCTTTCTTAAATATTTGAGATCCTCTCTATTGAAATCATTCTTTTCCTGGATGGGTAAAGGGCCTGAAGAATTCTCCAGAAGCAAAGCCAGATAGAGGAAGGCAGATGGAGAACTGGGAAGAGACCCTTAACATTCTTCGAGAATACTTCTTCAAGATGCCAAAAAGGAGAAACTCTGAAAGGCATTTTCCCCAGACCTCTCAGACTACTGCGAGCAAGGCTTCTGTGGAGGGATGAAAGAAAATATATCACAAAACAGAGAAAACTCCAATGTAAATGTTTGAATATCTGGTCTTTTCAGAGGCCTGCCTTTTGAGCCAAAAGGGGAAAAAGTAAAGGGTGGAGGGAAGGCCCTTAAAACTACTAAGTAATTTTTTTTCTGCTTTGCTTTTCCCTTGTGTAGAGCAAACTCTTATGTTACATCCCAGCCTGGAATAAATCTTCTGGGCTGAATGATAAATCAGGGATTGTAATGGAAATCACTATTGACCTCTAAAAGGGCACTGTCTTTATATTTTCACACTGTGCTGTTTGAAATGTCGACTCAGAATCAAGAAAATAATATGCCATCGATTTCTCTCCGTACCTCTTATAACAGAGCTTGAAATTGACCTGGAAAGCGTTGGTATGGGTTTACTCATTATGGTTTCAACATCATCGCAAATGGTGATTAATGATTCAGTCCTGGGAATGACATTGTTAGAACTTGTAATTACTTTGTGAGTCGTGTCCAAACAGCAACTAGTTTGCCCCATTCATACCACCTCCCAGAAGTGGATGTATTTTAATCTTCATGCAGTAAAACTTTGTGGTTCCTGATTAAAAGCCTATACAAGACAGGAATATTATTTCCTTCTATTATTTTTACCTTGTTTACTGCCTTCTCCTTGTCCAATTATTCTCTTTTCATTTCTCTTCTCATTTCTTAATGTACCAGGCCTCTCTGGCAATTTGTTAGTTCTAGTTTTTCATTCTTCATTCTTTTTATTTCTAATTTTCCTCTTTGTTTTTCCTCCAGTTTCATAATCTCTCTGTCTCTAATTCACTGGTCTTTTTTGCTCATTTTTCTTTTACTGTCTGATTTATCCATTTCATCTCTCATTTGCTCCAGAAAAAGCTTTTAAAGCCATCCAGATTCTCTTAGCCTTGCCTATTTCAAACGACAGTATGGAATGTCTTCCCTCGCCTACCTTAATCTTCAATATCCTGTCCATGCAGGACACATAGCCATCACTTAATGCCAGCTCTCCTAGCAAACCGCTATAGACAGGTGTCTATAGACATTCAATTAAACACAGAAGCTGGTGAGCATGACTTCTCTTCATTTTAAAAGCAGCTAGGTAGGAATGATTAATGTTTTTCTCTGTTAAAAGATTTTAAATAGCTTTGAGATGATGCAGCTCAGCTGAGCTGACCCGAGGGATCTGCAGAAGCAGGAGGGACCCCTACTCAGAATTTGGTTCGGATGTCCAGGCTGATGATGGCACACACATACCAAAAGGCTATGAAAAGGTTTATTATTTACATAATTGAGGCTTTTCTGGAGAGAGCAGGGCAGGCCTTCCAATCAGGTCCAAAATGGCTTGCGAACCCAAGGAAGGACGTTGGGTTGGGTTATGTGTTGTGGACAGGGGGTGGGGCCAGAGTAAGAGTACTCACCCACACACTGGCAGGGGCTTGTGTGCTTTCAATCTCCCACCAGCACCAAAGGAGAGAGCACTCTGGCTTTCTTATCGGCTTGCCTCCCTGTAGGGCAGAGGGGAAGAGGAAGAGGTGAGGCTTAAAAGCTGTCCACAGAGCCAGCCCTGATGACCTAGCAGTTAGTTCAGCATGCTCTGCTTCGGCAGCCCAGGTTCAGTTCCCAGGCATGGAACCACAGCACTCATCTGTCAGTAGCCATGCTGTGACGGCAGCTCACATAGAAGGACTTACAACTAGAACATACAACTACGTACTGGGACTTTGGGGAGAAAAAAAAAGGAGAGAAGAAGACTGGCAACAGATGTTAGCTCAGAGTGAATCTTTCCCAGGGTGAAAAAGAAAAGCTATCCACAGTCAAACATCAAAAAATGGAGTCAGACTCCTTGCAAGATCTTTGACCCAAGATAACCAAAAGCAAGTTGACAATCCCAGACCTAAACCACAACTGGGGAAGCCCAGGGAGAGAGAGTTCTACAGAGAATCTCTGAGGCTTGGAAAAGAGAAGCATCTCCCAGGCACATTGAGTTCATTCACACAATCTCTTTGGCCAAAGGATCCACAGGAACCTAATGTCTTACTCAGGTGAAAAAAGCAAAGAAGAAGAGCTCACTCTGCATTTAGATGAAGTACTTGGCCATCCACATGATGTGATTTGAACAAAAAGTGTTCCCTTGCCCAAACAGTCTTCTGTCTTAGGGATGCCCTAGAGTCAGACACACTTAATTGGTCCTCCTTTGTAATCAGGGGTCAAAGATTCCCATAATGTTTAGAAGAGCACTGAAGAAAGAGAATATTTTGTGGACCTGGATTCGAGTCCCTCCATTGCCACATTTGTGACCTTTAGAAATGTACTTATTTCTGAGCCCAGGTTCTGCTTCTGTACAATGGGGTAAATAATACCTACTCCATTTCATCAATTCTAAAATGTTACTCTTTCTTTACATTTTAGCATCTCTGAAAACTGAATAAAATCAGGAGCTTCTTAAAAATTGCAATTGGCAGCTTTTTTTTTTAGTTTTAGTAGCACATAATAATCTATGACATCTTGATTAATGAAACGCAGTATTTCACAGGGCCTAGAAAATGTAAATGTGAAAATAACTTTATTCATTATAAGTTCTATATAAATGCTTTATGTACCTCTTCAGGCCTCAGTTTCCTTATCTGTAAAATGGAGGTAATAGTGGTACCCACTGTATGGAGTTGTTGTAAGCATCAAGTTAATAAACATAAAGTGTTCAAAACAGTGTATGGCTCAGGGCAGGAGACTTTAGTACTATTATGGTTCCAAGATTTTCTCTGACTCTTTTGAAGATAAGTTGGTCATTGACTTATTTCCCAAACATTGAGTGTTCTGTGAGTGCCAGTAGGGCTCTAGAGTCAAACTCAATGGTTCTGAATCCTGGCTCTTCCCCTTACCAACTATGGGCAATTTCTGTAGGTTCATTCAGTCTCCTCTTTGGCATCTGTGAAATAAGAATTACAGCATCTGCTTCAGAAAGTGCAGGTGAGCCTTAAATGGGTCAATCCATGGGGGGAGCCTAGCAGCGTCTGGTGAGTGGAAGTTCTCAATAAATGCTAGTTATCAATTTTAGTAAGTGATACTGCTTTGAAGAAGCATCGGGTCTAGCTGTAGAGATGGCCCAGAGAGAGAGAATTACACTATCACAAGTAAAAGATGGCCCCTCTTCACACATTGCCCTCGGGTAAGACCCAACAATGTCCTGTAGTCAACGACCATCCAGGAACACATCTAAGGCCAAAGAGGGTTGGGACTGCTCCCTAATGGGGACATCATGAACAATCATAAAGTGTCTCCAAAAGAGGGTATCAGGAAGGATTTGTTCTAGGAGTTGGGCCTGTACTACCTTATTTGGGGAAGGGCTCGAGGAAGTGAATTGGGAGCTGTCAGAAAGCAGGGAAGTTGAATGATTACCTTAATTTTTACCTGATGAGCAGGAGGAAAGAAATAAGGCTAGAGGAGTCATTGAAGAAGAAGCAGTAATCACTCCTGATAGCCAGGAGAGGCGAGTGTTTGATCATTTTTGCAATTGCATCATGTCTGTCTTTATCCCTGCTTAGGCTTAATTATGGAGTGGTCTTATTTTTGTCCTGTTCCATCACATCCGTGAAAGTCCTCATCAGAGATTGATATTCCATGAAACTGCTTATGTTCACCAAGGGAACAGTATGACCCAACTGGTAGCAAGTAAGGCAGTTACTAGCTTTCAGCTGTGGGGTGACCAACTGTCCCAGTTTGCTTGGGAGCCAGGAGGCCGCCAACTGAGGGACTGGGCCACGACTTCCAGTGCTAAAACGGAGACAGTCATGGCCAAACAGGGATGTGTTGGTCACTCTAGCTGTCAGGGCTGCCTTTTTGTTTCTCAGACTTCACCCTTTTGATAACATATCCTGTGAATTACCTAATTTATACTTTATTGGTTGACTCACTGTCTGCATATGAGGATATGCTTTAGAGGCAGAGTCCCAGCTCTATCAATTACTGGCCACATGGCCTTGAGCAAATTTCAATGTCTCTGAGTCTGGGTTTCCTCCTCCCTAAAATGAGGTGGGTACGTTCTTCATGTGAAGGCTTAATGAGAAATGTTATCTTCAACAATGCCTTGCACATCACAGGCATTACACTGATGTTACTCCTCTTTCCTCCTCTAACTCCCTCCTCTACCCCATTGCATATCAGCTTTGCGCCATTTCATGCAACAGCCTTGGATTAACAGGTTATATTCTGGTAACCTTATTTGTATAGCTCCTAGCATGGTTCCAGGTGCCTATAAATACTTAAAAATTTACTTTGTCTTATCACTGTTCCTTTTTCTTCTCTTCAGTACTCCCACTTATTTTTTATGCTTCTCTATTCTCTTTTTTTTTCTTTTTTTTTTGAGGAAGATTAGCCCTGAGCTAACATCTGATGCCAATCCTCCTCTTTTTGCTGAGGAAGACTGGCCCTGAGCTAACATCCATGCCCATCTTCCTCTACTTTATATGTGGGACGCCTGCCACAGCATGGCTTGCCAAGCAGTGCCATGTCTGCACCCGGGATCCAAACCGGCCAACCCCAGGCTGCGGAAGCGGAACGTGCGAACTTAACCACTGCACCACTAGGCCTGCCCCTCTCTATTCGCTTTTCCTCCAGGAAACACCTGTAAGTAACAACAATAATAACAAATTCTGCATTTCTAGAACACTTTACAGCTTACAAAATGCTTTTCACCAAAAAAACACAAACAAAAAAACAACCTGAGAGACAAGTATTATTACTCTCCTGTTTGCAGATTAGCAAACTGAGACTTGAAGAAGCCGTGTGCCTGATTCAAGATCACACGGCTAGTAAAGAAATAGAACCAACCTTCTGAGTCTCTGCTCTGCTCTAAAACAACTTTTCCCAGGGGCTCAAAACTGGATCCTAGTGCATCCCCGTTTTTCACATAGCAGGGGCCCTGGATTGGGCCTCTCGACCAGATGTGGTTATTGAGACAAGCAGCTATCATTTGTAATTTCCTGTGCTGTCCCCCAGAGTCCACAGCTTAATTTCACTTTAAATCCAGCATGGCTCTTGCCAGAGCCATGAGAAAATCCCATTCGAGGTGGAACCACTGAAATTTGATTCAGAGCTCTCTGCTGGGTCTTCCTCTGACTACCAATTCAGCTTAGTCCCTGGCAGCTGGGCTCAGCTGGGGCTGGATAATTCTAATCTCCTTTGACTTGCCACTCCCCCTTCCCCACTGCCCCAAGAAGGGATGCCACATGGACTCACAATTGTCACCCCTTGGAGTCCTTCAAGTGTCATAGGCTAAGCAGAAATTACAAATAGGGTTTGGTATTTATATCAGACTAGTTCCAAAATATTTCCCTGTCTGGAGTTCTTCCATGGAAAAAGCATTTGTAGTATGCAGATGGAGGGTGTGGAGGAGACCCAGGAATGCAAGATCAACAGCCTTGAGTCCTCCTAGCTGAACACGTGAGAACACAGGATACCAAAGTGGAGAAATTTGTAGTGAAGCAGAAAGAGGCTACAATTTGGGGTCAGCACACCCAGATTCAAATACCAGTTCCCGTGTTCATAGGGTGGGTTGCCATATGCTATGCACTCAGTTTCTCCAAGTTTGTGCTCTCCTTTGAAATAGGAAAACAATAATGCCTGGCCTGCCCTTCTCTTTAAGGTGGTCCTGAGCTAAGGGACATAAAAGCGCTTTAGAAACTAGAAATCGCTAGACAAGCATAGGCTGTTAATATTACAGTGCAGCTCTCTAAACTTTGCAATATATTTTTCAGACAGAGATTCACTATGCATTCCAATTCTCTTTGGTCTTTGTTTTTCCTTCCAGTTCCTTTGATCTCTCTGCACTAGCTCAAAGTAGCCAAAGAACAGGTCTGCATTTGTTTCATAATTCACACAGTTATTCAAGCCAGTATGTGGCATTCCAACCCAAAAAGACAGTTCAAGAAAACTTAAGTGATTAAAAGGAGGGAAAACCACTTTTTGCTCAAAATGTGCTTTTTGGTTTTTGTATCTCTAATCTATAAGGAAATTTTACATTTTTGATTCACAAGAGAAAAAATACAAGAAATAAGAGAACTTGAGGATTGGAAAGGGATATTGTATCTCATACACAAGGATAATTGGAAAGAAACTACATTTATAAAGCTAATTGGTAATGTAGAGTCAAGTAGAAGTTGTGATTTCACAGCACAGTGAGATAAAATCATCAAAACGATGCTCCAGGTATTTGCATATCTTTGCTAAGCAAAGATAAATTTGCTTGTCACAACTCAAGTCAGAATTCTAGTAGATTCTTATCTCTGTCTAGGGCTTTGTCCAGGAAAAGAGACTGTTAGAAAATATGACTCACTTATTCTTTATATCTTAATAACATTTCTCTTTCACTCACACAGGGGTTAACATGTTTTCTGGGCGCTGACTATAATTGTTTATAAATTATCCACAAAGGAGTGAGACTAGGAAAATCCAGAAATATGTTTCTCTTTCTATGTACTGTCCTTCCAATCTGGTCCTGCTTCTGTTC